CACAGGTGGGACGCCGAGACTCTCACTCGCCTCACCCGGGCGCCCCACACCCACTGCGACCGGCCCGACCTGCTCCCAGCGACGCCGCTCCGACCGCGCCGGCCGCCCCGGCCCGGCGTCGCCGCTCTGCCCCTCGGCCTAGCCCCGCTGTGCTGCCCCCTCGGCCCAGCCCCAGAGCGCTGTCCCTCGGGCTCCCGCGCCCCCTCAGCGCGGCACGGCCGCGGCGGGGCCGGCAGGCGTCTCGGAACCTCTCGGCCCGCACCCCCCCCACACCCATCCGGAGCGGCCCGGCTGTCCCCGCCGAGCCCCGGCAGCCGCCCCGGCGCCCCGCGGGTCTCACCAGCGTGCCCAGGTCCTGCCGGCTGAGGTGCGGCTGCCCCAGAGTCACTCCCGCCTCGTCCCCCGCCATCTTGGCCCGAGCAGGAAGTGAGGAGTCCCGCGCGGTCGCCTGATCGCCGGCTCCGCTCGGCGCCTCTGCCGCCGCCCCGCAGCCCCCAGCGCCCTCTGACCCGCAGCGCGGCACCGGCCGGCCCGGGGACGGGCACTGGGCTGGGGAAACGACCGCGATCGGCGCTGCGGGGATACGGCCGGAGCCGCCGCGGGGAGGCAGCAGCTCAGGCGCGCCGCTGGGCAGCCCTGGGCAAGGTCCCCGCGGCCGCCCTCGCGCCGGGTGATGCAACCGGGGCCTGCGGCGGGGGCCTGAACCGCGTGCGGCGGCGCGCGGGGCAGGGAGCGCGCGTGTGCGAGCGGCGGGTAACGGGGGCGCGCGCTTGGGGGGGACCTGCGGCGCGGCCCCGGGAGCGCGCGCGGCGGGCACGCGCAGCTCGGCCTCGGCCGCCGCCGGGAGCGTGCGGGGCCCGATATCCCGGGAGAGCCGCGACAGAGCGCCGGGAGCCTGCGAGACGGGAGCGCCTGTCGGCACAGCCCGGCTGGGGACCCCGTGCTGGTGCGGCGCGTACGTGAAACAGCACCGTGGGCTCGGGACGGGACCCGGTCCTGGGACAGACGCACCGGAGGCGGGAAGTTCGCCCGGGGTTTGCGGTCTGCTGTGCGTGTACACCGGCAGCGCGGGGTTATTTGAGCGTCGGGTGGGTGCGATGCAGAAAGGCGCGTGGGGGGAGAACTGAGACACGGTGCTTGTGTGTATGAAATGAGTGTCGGTGTCCGATCGGCTGATCTGCCTGAACAGGGACATGTCACATCCATGTGTTAGTAATCTCTGCTGCCCATCAGCCCGATAATGTTTTTTGAATTTCAGCCCTTTTTCTTGTTACTCTCTTTTATAGGCTGGGCACTTATTATCTGGGAGACCACTTGGATATGAGACTGTGCCCCAAGATACGAGCAGCCTGAATGTTTTGTATGAAACAGGTAAAAAAATCACACGTGCTGTGTTCAGAGTTGAGTGTGACATAAATGCTTTAAAAACTGAGTGAATAAAATCCCCAATGCAGTGATGAGAGCCAGTTTAGAGGTTCAACGGAGATTAAAGGCCAAATTCCCTACTCTTCCCTGTGGGAAATTGAATTGACTTCTTCATGGGAACTTCTTTAAGGCATAGATGTGGCTAATAGTATTTTCTCTGTGATCTGGGATACAGGTTTCAGTACAAGTAACCAGTTATGTCAAATATGTGTGCACTGTGCCAACAACAGGAGCTTTGTCTGCTGGAAACATGTTGGTTCTCAGACTTTGCCCGGGCAACTGCTTGTGTGAAAAAACCCCAGGTTTGGAGCAGACAACCACGTGATTGAAATGCGATGATGGAAATCCGTGTGAAACTGGTGTGCCTGGTTTAACAGTGCTGGTAACCTCCCACTTCTGTAAATACTACTATTGCCGTCCTTTCCTGGAACAAGAGTTCGGAGTGAGTTCTGCTGGATATACGCATTGCCGGTGTTCTTGTTCTGAATAAATGATTAGGAACACTTAAGAAGCCTTACAGCATCTGTAATGGTGTTGGCAGTGACAAAATGTATATTTGTCTTGCAACCCAATCATGTTGCACGTTGGTCTGGAATATCAATTTTCATATCTAATCTTTCCTCAGGCCACATTGTGTTTTCAATTTTGTACAAAATATCTCACTTCTGGGAAAAACAAGATACACGAAGTGTAGTGGGAACATGATGCAATACTTGGTTGTAGTTGCCTCGATGTCCAGGCATGTATAATCACTCTTTTATGAAAATGAACTGAAAACACTAGACTCTGTACTTACTTAGCTGTTTAAATTATGCAGTAATGCAGTGCAGTGTAAAATTATGGAAACAGCTTTTGTCACATTTGCATCAGCCTTTAGAAAGGATTTAATCTTTGCCAAACACCCTGTCAGGAATATGAAAAAAATACACAAACTGTTGCTTCTATTTTAACAGTACAATTGCACATTTTACATATCTGAGGTAGTCTTGTTACTTTAATTCACTTATTTAGAGATATTTGTAATATAAAGAAAACCCAGAAAAGTCTGAAGACTGCAAATGTCTAATTACTGTAGAACAACAGAATGGTTTGGGTTGGAAGGGACCTTAGAGATCATCTAGTTCCAATCCCCCTGCCATGGGCAGGAACAGCTTCCACTAGACCAGGTTGCTCAGAGCCCCATCCAACCTGGTCTTCAACACTGGGGCATCCACAGCTTTTCTGGGCAACCTGTTCCAGTGCCTCACCACCCTCAGAGTAAAAAATTTCTTCTTAATATCCAATCTAAACCTACCCTCTTTCAGTTTAAAGCCATTCCCCCTTGTCCTGTCACTACATCCCCTTGTGAAAAGGCCCTTTCCCAGCCTTCTTATGGGCCTCCTTTAGGCACTGGAAACTGCTATAAGGTTTCCCCAGAGCCTTCTCTTCTTCAGGCTGAACAACCCCAACTAAAGTAGGTAAGAACATTTCTAGGAGTTGATATTATGTCAATATATGTCCATTGTACCTATATGTATTAATTAAATAAAGTCTAAAAGTATTCAAATTGAATGGTAACTAGTGTATTAATATAACTCAAAAACCTATGCCCAGAATTTTATTCATTGCAATAGTCTCATTTTAGCCAGTGGTAACTACTTAGTAAATGCCTAAATCAGAGGGGTCAGTCCAAATCTCTATGTAAATTAATATTAGCTAAGGTAATGTTGATACCAGTGGTCATTGTCAGAGGCCTAAATTTAATTTTATTTAGGAGACTAGAATCGAGGCATTATTAACATATGTTGATTTTTCATTAGAAGCAAATTGTCCAATGTGAAAGAGAAGGGGACATTTTTTTGTGCTATTAAATGTTGAGATGTTTTAAATGTCAAAGCTATTGTGTTTTGGTTTGTTGGTGGTTTTTTTTTTGGTTTTTGTTTTTTTTTTTGTGGCTAGGTTTGAGGTCCTCTTCTGTGGCAGTGTGTAGGAGAGACCTGAAGATCATCTTATGCCTCAGCTTGCCACAAACAGCAGACAGCAAAATGACAGTCAGGTAAAACCTAAACAGTCTTGGTTAGCTTTTTCCACCTTCACTGACATATGAAGGTCAAAAGTCTGAGGAGGGCAGGATGCATTAAGTTTTGTCTGTATCATTTCTGTGTATGAGAAACTTAGTTTCTACTCCAGTTTCATTTTGTTGAAGCATTAGATAGGGGTGAGTACATGTACATGCTTGGTGCAGCAGGAGACATATCCTGTAAGAATGGGAATGTCTTTCCTTTAGACTTAGGTAGCAGGAACAGTTGCTGCTTTGGCAGAGTCAGTCTGTTAAGGGCACTTGTTTCACCCTAAGTGCACGAGTAACAGGTGCAGATGGGGCAAATTTACCGCATGAGTAAGTGGGTAACATGGGATAGTAAGAAGTTTACCAAGTAGAGAGAGGTCAGGCCATTGGGATGAAGGAGTGAATGGGAGCAGGTTGACTGTAGTGAGAGGGAGCAGTGGAAGGACAGTTGAACAGTGGAAATAGCAGTGTGAAGTCTTTTGTGAAGCACTGCATGGTATAGCTGGTTCATTGTGTGAAGCTGTGAAAGACGTTCAGCTTGGGGGTGGCAGCTACAGAGAAGGTACACTCTTGTTTTATAGATCAAGAATGGGGAGGGGGTGGTAATGAGAGACTGAAAATAGGCTGTGAAGGGAATGGAAACAGCAATAAACAGGGAGAGGATGGCAGCCAGTGGCTTGCTATTTAAAGTGAGTGCCACAGAAGGTGACAAGGAGGTACGTAAAAGGTAGTGAATGGTTTGGGGCTGGCAGTGGCAAACGCAAGGACCACGTAGTTCAGTTCACCTCTTACAATGAAGTCAGAGTTTTCCAGGCAAAGGTAAGACAGCAAGAGCAAAGGGAGTGATGTTTGTGCCAAGGCAAAGCCCTGCTAATCCATCCCGTGCAGGGCTGCGGTTCCACACCAGCTGTGAGCAGGTGTTTCGGCTCAGGGGCTGCTCTGCTGAGCGCCCGTGGCAGACGGCCCGACCCCACGGGCTCCGGTAACCCGGTTTCCAGAGCGGCTGGCAGGGCAGGCTGTGGCGAGCAGGGAGCTGGGATCATCCCGCAGCACCTGCGGCTGGCCGCTGCCCGGGAGGAGCTCAGCCAACGCCGAGCAAGGGATGCTGCTGCCGGGGGCAGCTGCCCGAGAAACCGGGCAGCTGCGACAGCCTCGGTGAAAGGGACCTGGACTGGAGGCGGAGGGGTGGGAGAGAACAGCGCAGCCCCGACCCTCCCAACGCGGACGCGTGTGGATGCGCGTCCTTACGGGCCGGACGCGGGTGATGCTGCTCCGTGCCGCTCTCCCCAGCCATGCGCAGCCCCCCAGTGAGGGTCTCCCCTCCTCGGGGCATGCCGGAGCTCCAGCGTCTGGCAGGCCCTGCACGGGGCAGGGCGGGGGCTGGCGGGCGGTGCCGGCGGTGCCCGGTGTCGGTGCCGGCCGCGGTCGCGCCCCCCGCCCCAGGTGCGGCGGAAGTGACGGGCGGCGCGGCGCTGCCGGCGGAACATGGCGGCCGCGGCCGTGCGGGGCAGCGCGGAAGGTAAACAAGCGTGAGGGCAGCGGGGACCGCGGGGCAGAGCCCGGGCCGCGCTGCGAGCGCCGGTGGCCCGGCGTGGGGCGGCTCCCACCTCCCCCCGAGCGCGGCCCGCCGGGAGGAGGGAGCCCAGGATCCCCCCTTCCTCCGCCTCCTCCTCCTCCTCCCGGCTTCGCCTCAGCCATTGCCCCTCTCCGCAGCCCCCCGGCGCCTCCCTCCGCCGCCCCCGGCTGTATGGTACGCGGAGCCAGGGCCCCTCTCCGCCGCGCCAGCGGGAGGAGCCGCGTCCTCAGCGTCGCCGCTGCCGAGAGGTGGGTGAAGGATCCGGCGGGTCCTCCTTGGGCGGCCCGGGCGCCCTCCCGGCCGTCAGGGACCCCCGGCCCCGGGCTTGTGGGGGCGGCCGGATGCCCGCGGGCGGCAGGCGGGGGGCAGGTGGGCTGTGGGGGGGATCGGGCACGGCCGCACCGAGAGCTGCCGGGTCCGGGGCGTTCGCAGCCCCCGCCGGGCGCCCCGGGCAGCTGCGGCCGCGCGGCGCCGACTCCGGGCCCGCCTGCCCCGCTCGCTCGGGGGCTCGGCCTGCGAGCTCCGCTCCCTGTCTGCGAGCACACGGGCTGAAGTAGGTCATCTGAGTTCCTGCCCCCAAAATGGCCATTTCTCCTTGATCGCGAAAAAATGTGTCTCTGATCTGAGCGAGCACGGCTACCCAGGATTGGTACTGGCGCTTTGACCTATTTGGTAAATACTGAAATGTCACTTTAAAAATTAAAGTTCTTGGTTTTTTGTTGTTTGGGGCTTCTCCCCACTCCTTCACAAGAAGAATAGGGGAACCATAAAGCTATTAGTGGATAAAAGGACAAAACTACTGAAGTTCTGGCTTCCCATGGACTTCTTTGTTATGTGTACTCGTCCTTAAGATGATAACCCAGCTCCAGAGGGTCACCAATGGTGACCACCATTGCCCCAGCTCACATTCAGATCCCCTGAGCATACCACCATGCACCAACATAATTACTGTCTTTTCCCTCCCAACACCTAGCAAATGTGTTTAATTTCTACCACATGCTCTATAAACTCTCTCACTAACACTCATCTCCTTTCACTTTCCTTAATTATACCCTGTGGCTGGTTTGAATCTACACATGTGTTGATTTGCCTTTCAGCAAGCAAAGCAGAACAGATAACCATTGAGCTCACACTGGAGACATCAGACCTTTTTTCATTCATCTAGCTGTCAATTTGAGGGATACGTGTAGAAATTAAATATGAGATTTTTGTCTTTCTGAAAAATGTGGTTGGCGTTTGGCAGTGAGGTCAAAAGATGTGTGTCTTGAACAAAGGGCACAATTAATCTCATTTTCTGAGAAGGTGCTAGAAGTATTAACTAAATTAGCAATAAAGATACAGATAATAACAAAAAGACAAATGTAAGGGATAGTTCAGCAATCTTAATTTAGATTAAAAATGTTTTTACTGCTATAGTTTAAATATTGCTTGTAGCTCATTACGTTATTGTGCTAAAAATTTTATGTTGTAAGTCGAAAAAAGATAGGATTAGATTTTTTATTACTAAGAAATACTTAACCTGCTATTTTTGTGTATAAAATACATCATGATTTCCTTGATAAGTATCTTCAATGAGAAAATCAGTCTTTATTAATATGTTTTTCTTACATTTGAAAAAATTAATCATTTTCTAAGCCACAAATATTAAATATGTATATATATAAAAGAGTGTTTTAACTCGGGATAGTGCAGTCCTGTCCACTTAGAGGACAGTGGCAAATCCACAGTTTTCAACGCTACCACCATTTAACTTTTAGGTATTAGTAATACAAGTTTTCCCAGTTAAACACAATTCTCATTTACAAGGATGTATCAAATATTTTACACTGAGGCCCCTGTTCTGGTATCAGTAAATGTAATTGGAAGAGCATTGAGCTGAACTGGCTCTGTGTCTGGGAGCAGGTTTTTCTGTGCAGGTGTAGTGATGCAATAACCTTTTAGCCAGATGGTTTAAGCTGTCTTGGTGTCTGTGAAGAGCAGTTACAGCATCTGCATAATGAACTAATTCAAGGGGAAGCTCATGTACATCTCACTGATGCTAACTCATGAGACAAGCTGGGTTTAGATTCGCTTAGGTGAAGTTAAACTGGTCAAGTAACAACAGCTGATGCGTTTGTCTGGCAGTCTTGAAATGCTTATGAAGCATGTGCTTTCATCAGAATCCTTTTGATAGTCATCCTAAACCTTGATCTAGGGGCTGAGCTGGGAAGCATGTCTTATTCTCTGATGGCTAGTCTTGTGAAATAGGGAGTTTCTAACATACTGGTCTTCATCTAAATTGAACACGTGAAAACTATACTTTTCAACAGTATTTTAAAACAAAATGGTTTTGATTTTTTTGTGTGTGTGCTTGTAGCACATGGGTCATTTCTTCTGTGCAGAAAGGCTAAATCGGGTTATAACATATCTGTATGATATATATGTATATATATAACTTAGACATACCTGTTTTTAGGAACAGAGAGTAACATGAGCTGAGAAACTATGAATGTGAGAGCACCACCGCATCTGCCTGAGTTACGTGTTTCTCAAAAAGAAAATGAAACAAAGCACTCTCTCCAGTACTGTACTCCATTGAGAATGAAGAATAACCATACTGAGCTGAGACACTGAAGCCATACTGAGTTTTAGTAGGTCTGGTTGTGCCTAGTTCTGATAATGCTTCTGGCATAACCATAATGACCTCAGAGACCACTGGTGTTATAAAGTGCCGCTGCTGCTGTGAACTGGTGCAGGTGGCTCAGATTGTAAGAGGAGTTCTCATGGTCAGGTGTGTGCTCCTAAGAAATCGAGTGTGGGCAGCTTTCAGGAGTAGCTGAGTTTTAATTTCTGGAGTTCCGGCAGAGTGGTTTCTCTGACTGTCAGTGATTCAGCTCCCAACTTCTTGCTTCCAAAGTAGTCCAGTGCTTTTGGAATTCTCAAGATGGATTGGGTGAAGTCGTCAGCATGAACATACTGATGTGTTTAAGATAAATTGTTTCCTGAACTTAGAATTTTAATTAGAAAGGATTTTAGATAAAATACAGGGAAACGGGATGGGTTTCTTCGTTCCCTACATTTGCAATTGTTGTAGCAGTGGAAAGTTTCGATATCCATTGATTATTGATCTATCCCATTTTTACATCACTCTTTCTTTTGCTGTTAGTGGGGAATTATGATGCAAAATGGTGGTTTGGACAAGGTTTAATGGTTTTATTGCATTTGTAGTGTAGTGCACTGCATTCCAAGGCCCAGCCTTCAGCCATGTGTGCAGTTGTGAATGTTTGTTGTGCATGCAAATGCCTGTTGTGTTGTATTTTCACAAATATGCATAACATTTGACTAGGAGAAAAATCTTATTTGTGCAGAAAAGTGTTTTAACAAAATTAGGGTCAAATAGTTCTGCTCTAAGCAGTCTTTGCTCTGCACCTCACCAAATAAAAACGTTTAATGGCTTTAAAATTTGCATTTTAATGCTTGCATTTGATGGATGGAAGGAACGGGATAGATGGAACAGATTAATGGATTTTAAGCTCTATTTCAGTATTTTGTGCAACCAAAGCATGGTTTTGTATGTCTGGTGAAATATTTTGTGGTTTAACTCATAGACAGTAGTGATTTATTATGTGAAAATTTGTTGTGCAGCTGTGTTCACATAAGTGATTTCTCAGGAGATCTATGGGGTAGGTAGAATGAACAAGTACTTCATAATCGATAAACAAAGGGACTTGCTGGTTCTGTCTCAGCATCTCAAATGAGTTAAGGAACAACAGTAAAGGAAAGCAGAAATCTGCCTTTGAGCTGGTGTGCTAGACTTGCTATTGTCAATACTTTGCTAGAACAATACATTTCTGTCCCTAGAAAGTGCATATAAGCTTTCATATTGCATGAAGACATTTATTTAAAGGGCGCTTTTTAGGAAATGCTGCTTTTGGATAGATTTTAAATCTAAGAGGGCATGAGTCAAGAGTGGGTATTCCATAACTTCCTTCTCAGTAGCCAGTGCATTTAGACTCCATTTCTTCTGCTTGTGACTAAGAGCCGCAGACGCACTGAGGAAAGAAGGTTCTCCTTGTTTAGCAAGAAAAAGCAGTCTGGAACAGGGTTTTCAGACTTTTATTACAGCTGCAGAATAAAGATGAGAAATCAGTGTTCCAAATAAGTGGTTTTACAGTCCCAGCACAGGAGACTCTAATGCATTATGTGCTAAAAGAGGAAGAAATGTCAGGAACAGCTAATAAGGTTAAACGTGCTTCTTTTTTGGCTTTTCAGCAGAGTCTTTACTTCCTGTGCTGCATTGCCCCGATCAGCTCTGTGTGCACAGAACAATGCCCAACGTCAATGTAGGTTGCCCACCCCCAGTATTGTTTATACATTAGGATTTTTTTGTTCCAGTTTCATACAGACCACTGTAGGCTGCACGTCTGCCTTAGGATTACGTGTGCTGCTGTGATTTGCATGAGTGAAGAAAATCCAAGTGAATTTTGCATTCTTATCGAAAGTATGAAAAAAAAAATTCGTTATGTATTGTCCTCTGGGAAATAAGCTGCAGCATTTGAATAGTGCATAGAATTACATCCAAGATTGCAAGTGTGTGTGTGGGAGGATTGGCATAGCTATGCTTTAGAAAAATTACTTCATTTGAGAGTGTTTTATATTGCTTTTTTTAATATTTGAGCTACTGTGTTGCTATTTGCTTTTGATGGAGGATATTAGCTTTAGAAATGAAGATTTTTACCCGTTGAGCGTAATATGCATTTAACTATCTAGTTTCCCAGTTTTTGTACTGTTTTAATCCTCTTCTGTATTTACACTGGCCAATGCATTTTTTTGTTTTAAAGAAAAATTTATCTGCTGATATTGTCTATGACTTCATGCCAAAACAAGGGTATTTGCTCCTTTTATTTAATGCAGAAAGACAAGCAGTCCTTTGCTTTTCAGTCACAGAATTCTGAAGCTTCTTTAGATAGTGTAGGGAGAACTCTTACTGGTTTTGTGTCTACTTAAATAATCCATTAAATGCTGTCTCAGGTTTGGGAGGAAAAATATTTTGATGTTGAAAACTGTAGATTTACTAGGAGTGAAATGAGCAGGGATGTGAGAAGAAGGATTAAGTGACTTAAACCCCCACACTTTTAAAACATTTAGAAATAATAATTTGAGAGTGTGTATGCCTTTGTTACCATTGTTACCATTTGTGGCTGACTTAGAGTTTGAAATATCTTATGGAATAGCCAGTTTTAGGGAGGTGTAAAAATTGGAACCGTTAAAGATGTCCCCTAAATGCAGCTGGTTTTTATTTTTTAATATTTCAGTGATTCCTGCCACCTTATTTTTTGTTAGATTTAAAGTTTGAAGGATAGTAGCTTGTATATGAATTTTTTTTTTTGGCTTATGTGAATGTGTCTCTTTTCTCTTTAATCAGAATTAGAAGGATGGTCACAAAAAAATTGGTCACCCAATTACAGACTAGTTGAGGTTATAAGTGACCTCTGGAGGCCATTGGTCCATTTGCAGGGCCACCTGGAGGCAGTTGCCCAAGACTCTATGCTGGTTGTTTGGGTGGTGTTTGGTTGGTTTTGTAGAGTTCTTTTTGTTGTTTTTGTTTAGAGTATTATTTGTTTCGATCCTTTAAAGGAACACTGGAGGTGCTCCTCTGGATTTGGTGCATCTACCATCTGTCTCTGCTTAACTTCACTTGCCAACTTTTCCTTTTTGCTTCTTTGAGAGTGATGAAAGAAGCTTTTTCTTTTAGGGCTATCCTATGTAAAAGTTAATTTCTCTCCTTTTGTTTGTGGAGTATCTGTAATGTAATTATCTTTCTCAAGGTAAGGGCAAAGATCCCAGTGTGTGTTTGGAGGTTGCTGGTTCTTCCATGTTGTTCAGGTACACAGTAATGCATGTACTGTTTTGAAGAAATCCCTTCCGTGAGATTGCTGTCTGCATAAGCCTGTGTGATGTTAGCTCTCATTGTTTTCAGATTAATCTATGTTGCTTCAGTCACCTGAAAAATATTGCTTCATTTCTGACTCTTTTTTCCCCCAAATATATTGTTGTGTTACTCTGTTCACATTCTCACATTTGCAAAGTCCAACTGCCCCATCACATTTTTAACACCAGTCGTGGAACTGAAGCTGAGCCAAGTCTTAGTGGATCTCCTAAAGAAATGTAACTTACACAGTTGTACTGTCTGAGAATCCTGGTAACCTTTGAAACTTGGCTGATTTCAGACAGAATTGAGAGTTGTTTCAAGTTGCTGTATGTTTTATGAAAATGAATGGCCATTTAAAGGCAAATGATCATTAAATCTCTCAAACAGGAAAGACCGAGGTATGAGCTCAGTTATTATTAAACATCAGAGAACTGGGGATGGGGAGGGGAGGAGTTACAAGTGCTCCAGTGAAAGAAGAAAAAAAAAGCTAATATTAGTGTTAACTTAATTTTATTTGCTATCAGAAATCCAATTAGAAAGCAAAATCTTGTAAAGTCAGGCTTTATGCTTCCTGTTCAGTTGGTTGCTTCTTTTTGAGGTGGTAAGTTACTAAAGTACTTCTGTCCTCATATGCTTTTGTGTAAGAATTGACAACAACTAAGAAGAATATTTGATGGTAATTTTTCTTTCTGGTATTTAATGTTGAAGAATAAGAGACTCACAATATGTAGCTCCAGAGCAGTTTGCATGTTCTCTCTGTCTTCAGTGACATTGAGGGGAATGAGCTGTCATGGATACTGGTGAGAAAGTGATTGGATTGTCATCTTTGTTCTTTTGCTCCTGCTCTTACTTTCAGGAATTTGAATTTTGTCATAAGGCCATAGTTGTAATGAACACTCCCAGCATTGACTTTATTGTGCACAGACCCCATCATCAGGCTTCAGCAGTGTGGGAGCGGTGCTAATTCCATGAGGTGTGGCTACGAACACCCACTCACCATTTCAGTTTTGCATAGACAAAGAGTATCTCCAAAGAGTTCTGTTTTCCAGGATGTGTGCTGATGAATGAAGGAGATGATTATCCATTAATGGAGTCTAATAAAATGCATTCCAGTTAAATGGCAGCAGGCAGAATGTGGTGCTTGAGGAAGTAGGAGTAAGTGGTAACTGCTCTCTGAAGTTGTGAAACAAGGGCCACCCTAGAGTTACTTCTGGGTCCACATACTTGTGTAAAGTTTTATGACCTTGAAAATCTGCAGGTTTTTTAATGTGTTGATATTATTCAGCCGTTCGTGTGGGTTACCAGTAGCAAAACATGATTAGCTTTAATTGCAGTAGGAAATTCAGAGTCAAATGCACAAATGTCTGAGAGAATGTTGCAGTGTAATTAAAGGTGGGATAAAGTGGAACAAGAGTAGTTGAACCAATTCTACTAGCAAATTAATGCCAGACAGGGAAGTTGTTGCTCTTTTTCTTTGTTCCTGCCCAAGTATGTGTCCTGCCCTCTGCATCAGGTTGGTTCTTGTGTCAAAGCCCCACAGTGTCAGAAATCAGATCACTGGGAAGCAGAAAGTTCTCTTTCGTGCATGCTGGGGGGAGCAGGAAGGGGTGGTTGTGTTTGTGTCACATGTCTTTTTCAGGTCTGTCCCTCTCTGCTCTTGGTTTATTTTCTGTCAGGTTTGAGTTGAACTTGCTTTCTAGAGGAGTCAAATGAGCCCCAGAAGTGGCTCAAAGTAGGCAGCAGGAGCTCAGACCCCAGAATGAGGACAGAGTAGGGGAATGGAATGTGCTGTTGTCCTTTGACTTTGATAAATCATTAGATTGGTTCAAGCTGCCTTGTGCAACTTCACCCTGCCTAAACCCAAGGAAGTTGGGCAAGATTTTGAGAAATTTGTGGATTTTGAATAGTTTTGGTTGGTTTTGTTTTTTTTTTTTAATTGAATATTTATCTTCCTTAACTTTAACAGGGTAGGATCCTGGTACTCTTTGTTTTCTTTTTGGTTTATTTACAGTTTGATTATAGCTTGCACGTAAGTAATTGTATCTGCAAATGTTCAAATACTTAATGAGCAATTCAGCTTCACTAAACCCAGTATACAGAATATTATTTATTGTGACCTGTTCTTGTCAGTGATTCTTATTGTGTTAGTATTTTACACTTTATAAATCTCATGACCTAATATTAATCACTGTAGTAAGAAATGGGGGGGAACGTGATGGGAGTTTGTTGTTACAGGAAAAGTGAAATACACAATCTTAAATGGTATCTCTGAAAACATTTGGTTATGTCAAGTGAATTGACATATAGTTTTAAACCTAATAAATTTTTATTTTTTTTCAATTATACCACGTACAGATCTACTGAGCTTGTTAAGGAAGTTTAGCTTCCTTTCTGAAACCTTTTGATATTCAAGAGTGGGTGTTTTATTGCTCCCCTGAGATAAATTCTTTAGAAAGATTGAGGGGGGTAGAGGAAAAAAAACCATGACAACCTTTTCAGTTCATTATCTGACCATGAATTAACTTGAAGTGAGAAATTGTTTTGGCAGTATTGCATAGTTATTTTTGTTGATTACCCTGTCTGTAAAATGAGAATATTTTGCAGGGGGGAAATATTTAAAGTCGATGTTTTGTTTCCTAAGTTGATTTTTCAGCTGGACAGAAAACAAAAAGGATGGTGAAGACTTTTAAGTCTTAATAAAAGCAATCTCAGTTAGGATTTATCTGGTCAGGAAGGGCTTGTAATATGTTATTAGAAATTACAATTTATTTTCATTTTTATTTATTTATTTTTTCTTCCCCCCCAGGTGATTCATGGCAGGGGACGTGGAAGGGTTTAGCTCCTCCATCCATGACACCAGTGTCTCTGCAGGATTCAGAGCACTGTATGAGGAGGGATTGCTTCTTGATGTCACACTTGTCATTGAAGACCACCAATTTCAGGCCCATAAAGCTCTCCTTGCCACCCAGAGTGATTACTTCAGGATTATGTTCACAGCTGACATGCGAGAACGAGATCAGGACAAAATCCATTTGAAAGGTCTGACAGCTACAGGCTTCAGTCATGTTCTCCAATTCATGTACTATGGAACTATTGAACTGAGTATGAACACTGTTCATGAAATCCTTCAGGCTGCCATGTATGTCCAGCTTATAGAGGTGGTAAAGTTTTGCTGCTCTTTTCTCTTAGCTAAAATCTGCTTAGAAAACTGTGCAGAAATTATGAGACTTCTGGATGATTTTGGTGTAAACATCGAAGGAGTCAGGGAAAAACTGGATTCCTTTCTGCTAGAGAATTTTGTGCCACTCATGTCCAGACCTGACTTCCTTTCATATCTGAGCTTTGAGAAGCTCATGTCTTACTTGGATAATGATCATCTGAGCAGGTTTCCAGAGATAGAGCTGTATGAAGCTGTTCAGGCCTGGCTGCGCCATGATAGAAGACGCTGGAGGCATACGGACACCATCATTCAGAACATCAGGTTTTGTTTGATGACACCATCCAGTGTTTTTGAGAAGGTTGGTGCATTTGAAAAGCAATAGGCAGGATTCATCATTTAGCTAGGGCAGCATGCCATTAAATAGGTAAGATTCCCCAACCTATTAGGAGGGACAAAATTATAGCATTTATTTTCTAATAAACCCATAGAAGGCAAACAACTACAAGTATTGTCTTTTGGTTATTAGACAAGAGCACGCACAGTGACTGGAGAACAGGTGGGTTTGCAATACGTGTTTATAAGGGGCTTTATATGAAAAAGACATTTTAAAATAAGGTCACTTGTATCTGGTTTGTTTTCAAATGTTCTTACTGTTGTCCGCAGGTTGCTTCTTGCTTTAGAGCTGCACACAGTATGTAGGGTATATGTCATGATAATTGTTATCAATATAATCAAAAAATAGTGACAGTAGATCTTACATGGTTTAAGTACAGGAAGTTTTTTTATTTGCAAATGACAACTAGCACCTGCTCTTAAATCTGCAGCCTTTTTGTTGTTGTATCTTCGGTGGTTGTGCTGTTACACAGCAGTTGGAAGTAAGCCCTGATCCTGCAGAGTTACACACACACTTGTTTCTATACAAGGCACATAATCAATCAAAAATTATTTACAGTATGAAATGTAATGATTTACTTTAAATATCAAGAGGAATTTTTGCAATAGTTGATCTAAAGTTCAACTGATTGCTGTATGTAGTAAGAGGTTAAAACCAAACTTGCTTTTTCTACTCTTCTGTTGAAGAACAGACAGAAAAGTTGTTTTCTAGTTCTTTAGACTCTGAACATTTGTCAACAGTAGAGGATTACTTTGTAAGCAGCTCTGTCACAGACCAGTAACAGTGTTCAGTTTAGCAATTACACTGTTAATTTTGTGTGATGAGATACAACTTTAACTTCTACTAATTCACTGAGAAGTGAAAGGTACAGGAGTTAAAACCTTGTGGTTTTTTTGTGCTTCTTATAAATTAATTTCCCATATATTTTTACTTTGGTATCTAGTGAACATACAGATAAGGTTGTGTTGGTTTTGGTGGTTTTAAGGGCTACTGGGTCATTCGAGCAGTAATTCTTATATGTATTCCTATTTGAAATTGTCAAAGCTATTAACTACTTCAGACCAGTGGGTTTCTATATTTTGGATTTTTTTCTGTGTGTGTGGGTTGAATAGAGGATGTAATAATACATAAAATATATTTATATATAGACTATAGACATGAACAAAATAAATACCTATGCATATTTTAGAACAGTGCTGCAATGTTTATATAGGGTTAAAACATTCCCAACTAGTAAGAGCTGAACTCTGCAGGATACTGTGTAGTGTCTTGTTTTTAATAACACTTTTACCTTATTACTACATCATTTAATCCCTTCCATAGTAAAACTGATAGAATTCACAAAATATGCTTTTAAGGTTAATCTTATAGGGCAAGACTTGTTTGAGTCTGCTTCAACTCTATGAGATTTGCGGATACAAGCTCAAGCATCGAGCTGTCCTCAGTTGAATTTCTGTAAGTGCAAGTCTATGTTAGTCTTCAGTGTTACATGTAGGTATAACTTCTGGAGCTGGTTTTGGCATCAGTGGTGTAAATCCTTCATACAGTGCTTCTCATATTTTGTCTTGACAGCTTCCAAATGGCCCAATAGGTACAACTTCAGGAGAGAAGTCGCTGTAAAAGCTTCATCTGTGAATACCCTTTCTGTTAATTTGTATGTGGGAGCTCACTCTTGAAGAGAAAAGGCAACGCAGAAAGCAACGCAGAAAGAATCGTGCCTTGCAGAATATACCACCTAAGGAGTCTTTCTGCTGTGCCTTTTGCAACTGGACATGCCTGTCTCATATTGGCCTTTTCAGCCGCCAGCGCGCTTGCAACAAACGTGGGTAGAGCCTTTCCCAGATCCTCATTTGCAAAGCCCAGCCATGATGATGTGGGATCAGAGAGAAGCCAGTGTAGGTTATGGAGTGGGACAACTCAGCACAGGGAAGCACAGCTAATTATGTCATTTGTTGCTGCAGCTAGGAATGCATTTGTGTTTTACCCTGGCTAGAGAGCATTGAGTTATCCAGCATGACAAGTGACAAAGGACAACTGCAGTTGGAGCCAACATCAGAATATAGAACACTTTTTTTTTTTAAATAAGAGAGCATGTCTATTCACTGTTCTGGCAGTAACCCAGGGAGAACCTCTTTCTTCTCTGTGTAGAAGGGGGAAGATATTGGTAAAACTGCATTTTTTGGAGATCTACAGACAGAATTCAGCCTTGTCCTGAAGCCAGCACATACTAAACGTCTGCATGAATGTACCAAATACAGTCTGAGGTGGACTCTTCCAGTTCAGCAAACTCTGTATTTGCTATACACTGGCTGGCTTGTCGTATGTACCCTTACGTAATCTTTGTGATACACATTTCTCAGATGCCTGTCATTGTAGTATATAAATAGCTTATATGACTTAACTTTGCAAGTCATGGTAAGGATACTTTTGGCCTCTTAAGCCATTATGTTTCGTACATCATTTTTTGGGGGAAGATGTGCAGTGTGGGTGGGATGGCTTGTCCTTTCAGAATTGAAATGAGTGACTCTGCACATACCTTGAGGCTGATGTGCATTTAGAGTCCACAAGTGAAGGTACAGCCCCTGTGCTTACTGCAAACTGGAAGAACAGATACTGAGGTATGAATAGATACTGCTTTTGTTCCTCAGCCCTTAAAATACATGCTGATGTACAAGGGAAAATGGGAAGATAAATGAATTAAGGATTTGGGGAATAGTTAGAAATGAAAAGCAGAGTGTATGAGGAGAAGTACAAGTTTTGCTCTTGACATTGTGTTTACCTTTTTTTGAAACCCATCCATGGCTCTATAAGTCTTGAAGAAGTTTGGAGATAGAAGTTAGAGGGCATTTTACCTGCCTCACTGAGTTAATCTCTGTGTTACTGGAGGTGATTGTGTCATGATTTCCCTTCATGTACTGTTTAAGCTCCATTTAGTTGCTGTGTACTACTCAGATTGAAATGTTGTTTCAAAACTTTAAAATCCAAAGGGCTTTTTTTATGTCCAGTGTGTAGGGTTTGTTATGAGTAGCCCATGCTGATTTATAAATTGCCAGTATAAATCAGAAACTTACTAATCACTATGTTTTGCTGTAGAGGTAGGATGAACAGCGCATTATTTTTGAGTATCTCTGCCCTGTGCCTAGAAAAGAGTAACTTTTGAGAAGATATCATTGTAATTTTATGTTATTATTTTATTCATAAAAGAATTTAATTTCTTTTTTTTTTTGCATTTACCTCCATGTCTAGTAATGGATATGTATCTACTTCTGCAACTTGGTTTGCTGAAGCAACTTTGTTTGCTGAAGCTTAGAATAAGAGGTGTTTAGTGGATGAGGTTAGTGGGCCCCTCTTATCTTAAATAGGTGCTGCGCTTGGTATTTTTGTCTCTCAGGGTTATTGCTCAGTTGGATAGGTTTGCTAGCAGTATTTATTTTGTACTGAACTTCTTAGTTGTGGCATATAGATTGACTCCATTCTGATTTGAAAAATTAGATTTGAGTTAGACTTCAGCTTGACTTTGATAATTTCATTGGCCAGTTTTAAAAAGGAACAGCCAAATAATTGTTTTGAGAGCATTGTCCTTGCTGCACAGAGGCTGTGTCATCTTGTCTTTTTATGGTTAGGCTGAAAAACAGTAAGGGATTTGTAGCACATACAGAATAGTCCTTCAGAGTCCTATACTGGTACCAGTCAGTTCTCATACTGGCTTACAGCTGTGCTTAAAATATGGCCAGAGATAAGTAGATGTGAAAATAATAAGGATCTGAGTTAGCAGAGTTGATGGATCTTTGGATTCAGCTTAATCTTTAGTAAAATAACTTTTTTTTTTGCAAATAAAAGGAAGAATTTGCTCTCTAGAAGTCTGATACAGAGGCCATCATTATTCACTGAAAAGCTGTGGTGTAGCTGTTGTACTCCTGGTAGGTGAGTTTGAGTTGCATCACTTACACGTTCAGAATTGACAGTTTTAGAAAACTTAAGCACAATAAGTTATAAGCTCTGAAGTAGTTCTCTGCTTACGTGGCTAGAGATAGAGTCACATTATGAGCCACCTAGATTTTTGCTATTGACTGCTTGGGGGGGTGAGTAGAGGGATGGATGTTTTTAATTATGTTTTAAATTATTTTTGCATCTTTTTTTTAATGGAGTGATACATTGGATTTTGTTTATGCTGTTCCCTGTCTGTGTAGCTGAAAGTCTGACTGTGAACCACAGTAACTGGTAGATATGCAATGAGATAATTCTCAGTCTCCATCTCTGGAGATCTTGAGGGAGCTCTTACCAGTAGGGCTGTGTCCTGGCAGAACCTCTGTAAGATTTTCTTCAGAAAATTGAAGAGAAAGAGTTGGAAAGAATGTAAAAAAAAAAAAAATAAAAAAATCACACGAGCAAAACTGGAACACTTTGATTAAATTCCTTTTTTTACAGTAAGACTGGGGTTGGTAAGGAAGTCCAGCTTAAACTGCCTTTAAGACCCTTCAGCAAGATAACAACAGTTTTTCTTTAAACTTTGAAAATGCTATGAAGCATTTAGTATTTTTATGAATTCGGAGTTGATGATGGACTCTTTAAGAATGCACATTTGTTTTACTTTGGGGTTCATAATGGTTAGTGCACATTTCCATCTGTTTTGCAGACACTTGCGAGTGTTCTGCTTGAGTATGTTGGTAACTAGGGGCACATTCCTTCTAGAGCTTCTCCATTTGAACTTATCAGGAGAATTAGTCTGCTTAGATATTTGTTGATCAGCTAAAAGCAGTGATATTTTTCCTCAACAGCCAAGTTTAGGAATGCTCCAGCTACCTTCTCTTACCAGAATTTAGGTGGTTGGTCACTCTTGTTCTGTGGGATTTTTTTTTTTGCCTATTGTACGACTTGCTAGTGCTTGTGCATTTTCGTGTTCAGCTCTCCAAACTTGTGTTTGTAGAAGCTTCCCCACAAACTTTAGTCAGAGAGGGGTTATAATAACTGGGAGTTGCATTTACTTCTTTATATCTTTTTGGTTTAAAGTAAGAGGTTGAGGCTTTGCTTTGGTGTTAGTGCCTTTTTCAAGATAAGCAGTAGTAAACTTCTGCTACTGATTCCCTGGTCTTGAGATTCTGTCTCTGGAATTAGAGATACTCCTTGTTTCCTTTTGCATGCTTTCATGGGGTGAGATTTGTGCTAAGTGAAGGAGTAGAGTGGTGAGGATATATGAGGCTTATTTTAATTCCAGTCTCTGGCTGGCATTTCGATTTCTAGATCTAACGACAGAGTTGTAAATGTTGAGGGGGAAAGAAAAGCATTTTCCATTTCTGCCAGGCTTTGCTGGCATTCTTCATGTTGTAAGCATGTTGATCCTGATGTCTTCCACAATCATCCAAGAAAACTTGAACTGCAAAGAGGTGGAACAAAGATAGTTTATATTTTTATTTAATTCCAAAGATGATGGCTCCAGTTTGGGAATGCTTGAAGTAGTCCTACTGTTCTAGAATTTGAACGTTCCTTTTAAGGATAAAGTTACCCACCCACTATTCTTTGTTATTTTAACTTCCTTTTTCATTTTTTGTAACCTTTAAGGCTTTCTATATGTTATCATTTTTCTGTGCTGCGGTTCTCCCTGCCAGCATATTTTCTGTAATTTATGTTCACTCTTTTTAGTCAGGCAGGGTATGTGGTTTATTCTAACAAATGCAGCACAAGCAGATCTGTCTTTGTATGACATATTCTTTATTTGCAATAAGAAAATAGATCTTATTCCCACAAGAGTTGGACTTACTGTGGATATTTTATAAGCACTATGCCTGAGTAAACCTTTTTGCTCTGGTAAAAACAATAGAAAGAAGCTGGATGTTGCTGCAAGAATAATATATACATCTGCATGTGACTGTCCTCTTTTTCCAGACAGAGATAAGTTGAACTTGTCAAAATTAAGTGGGGGAAAGAAAAAGTGTAAATAAAAACACCAAATCACTGTAACTCTTGAGCTATACATTGCTTTACAGTAGTAGGTTAGTATTCAGGGTTTTTTTGAAATCTGGTGTGTAGAACTATCTCAATATCTGTGCAAAGTATGCCAAATAATAACAGTTCCAAAGATTTTTTGAAAAGATACTTATCTGAATGTGTCAATTGTTATACAAGGAAGAGAAATTATTAATAGAAAGCTAACAAAACTTCAATAGTACATATTTATGGAACAAGCAACTACTGTATTCACAAGGTATAAAGAACATTAATTTCCAAATTGCTTTCCATATACATCGAAATTCATACCACCCCTGAGGTAAGGGGTTCCTTGGGACAGGGAATAGGAGATGAGGTAACAGATACTCAAAAATGTTATCTTCTGGTGTTACCTTGTGGTCACTTGAAATTTCAGAGTGGCCTCACATTTCTTCAGAGCATTGCTTCTCATTTTGGAGCTGGTGGGACCTAAAGGCTGTTTGCAAGCAATCCAGTTTTATGTGAAAGAAACTGGAACCCTGGATCAAATCTGATCGAGGATTTGTGCATTTGGCAATATCCAGCAGGTTTTTACTTGTTTTAGAAGTGTGATTCAGAAAGCTGTGTTAGACCAGATTGTACAGGAAGAGGGAAGCCTCTGAAGAGAATCCCACAGTGAGCTGAGGAATGCTTGGAGCTAGATGAGTTAAAACGTTCAGGACAGGGATGTGTTTTTGGAATGGTCTCAGGACCAGTCTGAGGAACTTAAGTTGTCTTAGATAGTAGAAAGGGTCCTGAAAAGGTAAATTCTTTCATCTTCTCCTTCACCCACAACTCCAATAAAACTGAGCAGGGATAGCTCTTCAAACTGAGGTGTCACTTCACGGTGTGCTAATTCAAAGGTTGTAACTCTCACCTGGGAAGTGGAAGTTCAAACCTACCTCCACCATTTGTCAAAGAAATGCACAACCAAAGGATTATAGATGGAGATGTTTCCCTCTTGTGTTAAAGGCATTTGTTAACATGTGGAGACTCAGAGAGGGGAAACCATAAGGGGTAGCCATCATGATGAGTGGTTGGTGCAAGCACATGTTCTGAAGGAAGGAGGTTGGGTACCTTCCCTTCCCTTCTCCTTCCCTTCCCCGCCCCAATTAAATAGCTCTGTGAGCAGAGCTTAGCATTTGGCAATAACTGCTTAGGCTTGGCTGTGAGATTTCAGAAAAAATAGACCAGAGTAAACCTTGGTAAACACAGAATGGGTGTGTAGAGTATCTTTCAAACTCAGGAAAATAGTGTATTTTTAACTAAGGTGCTTCATGGATAAAGCAGAAGAGTAACAGAGGCTTTTGGGGGGTTAAAGAATAATGATTTTTAGACTTAGGGATTTCAGTTGTGCCTAATTCCAGCATAAATTTTGCATGTGATTATTCTGCTGAAATTGTTAGTCACTGCTGTTAGTCACTAAATTGCCTTCTGGATTTTTGGTAACAATACACTAGTTCAAGCCTTCTTGCACAAATGCTATTGCTCTCAAGAGTGCCTGAATGAAACAAAGTAAAATAATCTAATGATACATAGTCATTTAGATTTTCTGGATTGTTTCTCTTGGCCAGAATTTTAATATCTTTTAAATGTATTCATAGGTAAAAACATCAGAATTTTATCGATACTCCCGGCAGCTGCGACATGAGGTTGACCAAGCCATGAATTACTTTCATAGCGTTCACCAACAGCCTTTGATGGAAATGAAATCGAACAAAATTCGTTCTGCCAAACCCCAGACTGCAGTATTTAGAGGAATGATAGGACACAGTATGGTAAACAGTAAAATTCTTCTCTTGCACAAACCAAGGGTCTGGTGGGAACTAGAGGGTCCTCAAGTACCTTTACGACCAGACTGCCTTGCCATTGTAAATAACTTTGTGTTCTTACTAGGTGGGGAAGAACTGGGGCCAGATGGTGAGTTTCATGCTTCATCCAAAGTGTTTAGATATGACCCAAGACAGAACACTTGGTTACGAATGGCAGACATGTCTGTCCCACGCTCTGAGTTTGCTGTTGGAGTTATTGGGAGGTATGTTTATGCAGTGGCTGGGAGAACCAGGGATGAAACGTTTTACTCCACTGAACGGTACGATATTACTGAAGATAAATGGGAATTTGTGGATCCTTATCCAGTCAATAAGTACGGACATGAAGGGACTGTGCTTGGTAACAAGTTGTATATCACTGGTGGAATTACATCATCTTCAACTTCTAAGCAAGTGTGTGTGTTTGATCCCAGTAAAGAAGGGACAGTAGAGCAGCGAACAAGGAGAACTCAAGTGGTCACTAACTGTTGGGAGAACAAATGCAAAATGAACTATGCAAGATGCTTTCACAAAATGATTTCTTATAATGGTAAGCTTTATGTCTTTGGTGGTGTCTGTGTGATCCTGAGGGCCTCCTTTGAATCTCAAGGATGTCCTTCTACAGAGGTGTATGACCCTGATACGGATCAATGGACTATATTGGCTTCTATGCCAATTGGTAGGAGCGGTCATGGTGTAGCTGTTTTGGACAAACAGATAATGGTTCTTGGAGGCCTTTGTTACAACGGTCATTACAGTGATTCAATTCTCACCTTTGATCCAGAGGAAAACAAATGGAAAGAAGATGAATATCCAAGGATGCCGTGCAAGCTGGATGGCTTACAAGTCTGCAGCCTGCACTTCCCTGAGTATGTTTTGGAGCATGTTAGACGCTGCAGCTAAAACTGAGTGAACAACCCGGTGAAAGACAAAAAGCTATACCTAATTTGTTAAAAAAATACAAACCAATTAAATTCCTTCAGAGACATTTTCCTTGTGTGCAAGAACAAATGCTAAATGCTCAAGAGAAACAGGATGTACAGGGAGTGTACTTACCAAGTTTATTAGAAAAGCCAATAGTTAGTCTGACCTTGTAAAAGCTTTGTTGTTTTGGTTTTTTTTTAACATAACTGTAAGTACAAAAAAAATAAATTTTTGAGTGTGCTTGGGTTTTTTTGTAATATTTTATGTCCGTAATATTTTCTCTTTTTTTTAATGGCCATTATGCCACTATGCTTTTGAATTAAGTTGAGTTTGACAAAATATTTGTGAAAGGCAGAGAAGAAAGACTTGATTAGCATTTTTTTGAGCGTCAAAATAAACCTCATCATCTGTACTAGGGTACAGCCAGATCTAAGATAACAAAACCAAACCCTTTCTGTATTTTATGTTGGTTTTTAGATGCTTTTCCCATTAACTGCAAAGAATTCTTAAATCTACTAGGTGTTTTGATTTTCCCTTACTTACTTTGGAGAAGAATTTTAACCCCTTTGCATGACCTTTTTCCTGGTTTTGTATAGTGGTACCAGTAAGTCTGCCAAACTGCAAATTACACATTTTCTACTGAATTGAAAACAAAGCATTTTTATATTCAAAACACTGTTTCTATGCTGCCTTCTATTGTCTGCGTTGTGTTTGTTGGTGAGTAAAAAAAGTATATATACATGTGCATACACTGTAAAAACTGTATATAAATGCATCTTTTTATTTGCAGTTACAATATTATATTTTAACTAGTGCACAGATTCAGCCATATCTGTTGAATTTAAGGTATTCTTTAATAAGCTAAATAATTCAAAGTTCTTAAGTAACCAGAGGCCTCATTTGGTATCAAAGTATCTTATCTTTAGTATATACTGATTGATTCAGTGACTTTAAACTCTTTATATTGTTCCTACATAATGAACTGTTGATTATTTGTTGTTTTATAAATTATTTTTTAAAAAGTAAATTCATCTTACCTGAATTTCTTTTCAGTTTCAATGTGCTGCCCTGTTTTCTTTTTTCATGAAAATGGAAAATATCAATAAGCAGATACTCAGCACTGCTGTGACCCACAGTTATTTTTGGAACTGGATACTGGATATACTACAGTTTATTCTCAGTACTTTGCTTGTACTCACATTTCAGTATGAGTACTTGTATTGAAGTGGTGTAATCTTTTCATTATTATTATTTTAATTATTAACTGTTAAGAACTACTGTGTTTTGAAAATGTGGGGTTAGGTGATTGGATGGTTGATGTAATTTCTGTTTCTTTTGTAAAAAAACCTACACAACTATGGCTACTGACCTCAGAGTGCCTGAAACGAGATGTGTGGTCCTAGAGGGCTTTGAATAACTCCATTGAGTCTAACTTACAGGTATAACTGACAGTAGATTGGTAAGAAATATCTACCAAGACATAAATAATAACAGTAATTGCATTTTGATTATCTTTATGGATGTGAAATAAGCCGCTTCTAGAACCTAAAGGAGAAGTTGAAGGCTCACAGTTCAGATGCTGAAACAGGCAGCTGCATATTCTGTAAAATCTTATGCTGCTGTGTTTCACTTGAAGCAATAGACTTTACTTTATATGCGGCAATGCAAAACCACTTTATTCAGCATCTTCCAGTCAGAAATCACTGTAGAAAAGGAATGTACAGTACTCAGGGAGTTCAAAAGAATGCACTTACAAAGGGACCAAAATCACCCTAAATTTTCTATGTTAAAAATAACACCTATTGTCTAAATGAAGTTTGAAATAATAGGAGTTAAAACAACTTGTAAAACTCCTCATATTGTGTTTTGATATTTTTGTAGTAATTATGTTCTGGGTTGAAATGTGAGTATTTGGAGCTATATGGCAAGTCAGCAGATTTTTAATTTTTTTTTTTTATTATTAGAAATGATTTATTGATCAAGTATTTTCTTTTCATATGTTTTAAAATAAAGAGGTAATGCATGCCATCATAGCTATAGTGATAAGCTATTTACATCAGAAGTGACTGGACCAAATACTGATATTCAGCCTTCTGATGCAGGCTAGTTTGCAGTTAAATTTGTCTTTTTTAATAAGAATTCAGTTGACTGAATTAGAAACTTAATTTACTTTCTTGATAGCTTAAGTTAAAGCTGGTGTGGCTTACACTAAAACCTCAGTTTCACTACATCGCCCTGTGTGGGTACAGAGAGAGACTGACTCCAGTAGGTGCTGGCTCTGTGCTGACTGTACATAGTTCATGGAATATTGAGGCACAAGAGAAAAAAACAAGGAGTTCTAAAATTTTTTTTTCATTATTCTGTTTGTCACCAGCTCATTTCTCAGTAAGTTAATGGGGCAGCAAAAACTAATCCTGCCTGAGAAGGCTTTCATGGGCACGTTCTGTATAGTACAGAGTACTTCACTTTTATCTGGGGCCAGTGTGGGGAATGAACATGATTCTGGATATCTGGTGTTCAGGATTCAAATGTCTTAAGTTAATGGGGCAGCAAAAACTAATCCTGCCTGAGAAGGCTTTCATGGGCACGTTCTGTATAGTACAGAGTACTTCACTTTTATCTGGGGCCAGTGTGGGGAATGAACATGATTCTGGATATCTGGTGTTCAGGATTCAAATGTCTTAAAGAGACACAGCCAAGACTTTATTAAAACTAATAGTAAAGATGGGGGTGTCTTAAGTTATGTTCTGGATCTGAGCACCTTCCGAGGTTCTGTGTTCAGGGCACCAGCCTCTAAAGTCATTGCTGAGTACACTTGAAGAACCAGATTGTTTTTGGTGCTCTGCTTTTAAGTTTGTATCTATCTTCAGGTACCCAGTTCTGAAAGTTCTTGTTCAGGGTTGTAATAGTAATTGTTCTGTGAATTTTTAATTGAACTGTTGGTTTCGGCTTCCTTGAAAGCTGTGTCTCCATTGAGAAGCTGGTTGCTACCTTTCCAGCATTAGGAATGATTGGAATTTGCTTGGGTTTAGAATGTGTGGGGGTATGTGAGAGTGTTTTGTCAATTTACATTTCTACCATACTTTTACTGTTTCAGACATTAAATATAAAATGAACTCTACTTTCTCTTTTATGTTGCAATGGAACTTTTGAGGCAGTTATTTTTGTTACTTTATAAATCAGAGGGATTCTTTATTTTAATTGAGTTTGCTTTTGTTATTTAGCACCAGATAATTTAGTGTTTAAATAGAAACAAAACTAAGCTGGGTAATAAGAATTGCCTATTACTATGAAATTTTGAGCATTATGATCAGATTAAGATGAGTTTTAAATAAAACACTTAAATGCTTCTCATTTGTCAAGGAAAAGGTAAGTTTCAGTCTTTGATTATTAAGTTTGGGGAGGTTCTCTTTCTATTCCCACCCCAACCATAACTGGAATACCAGCAAACCTAATGTCACCCACATATTTAAAATTCAATGCATGACCTGCTTTGAAAAGAAAGTGTACTTGCCTCTTGCCTTTTTTTAAAAAAAAGTGGACATAGTGAGTTACAATATAGGGTGGTGGATTTTTTTCACATCTATAGAAAAAATATATCAGCTTCCTTTCTTAGTTTAGCAACCAACTCCAGCAGGAAAGTTTCTTTTCAGATGAAGTAATGTACAATAAGCACAGTGCTCCTGTAGAGGGACCAGACACTGCCAGTTCCCATTTCACATGCTGCTGTGCCTGTTTTTAGGGGACAGGGTTTTTTTAAAGTACTGCATAAGGAAAAAAATCGTTTATTTTCCCCCCACAAAATGTTGGTAGTTTCATAGTGGGAAGTATTAGGTGGCAAAAAACTTTTGAAGTTTTTTTTCTCGTGAATTCGGCTGGAGGAAGGCAATACTTGGTTTTACAAAGGCCCTGCTGTTTCAGAAAGCACTGCTGGCAAGTGGCAGCATATGAGCTACCTGGCAACCTGCTTTTATGTTACTTCCTTTTGAAAAGTGTGGATGTCCTACTTTCTGCAGTATGATAGCAGTCCTGTTAGAATTAGATCCAAGGGTTTGACTTGAATATTTCCCTGGTTTCTGAGGTTTGCAGCCATTTTTTTCTTGAGGCCCTCCTGCCTTAGAAACCCAAGTGCTGCATTTCCTCGTGCTGATAAGATGGTAACTGCTTGTGTCAGGGATGAAGTGTCACTCAACACTCAGGAAGCAAAGATAAAATTCAGGAGGTACAAATTCAAATTATTTAAAAAAAACCCCCACATTGCTTAACTCATTATGTCCATTCTGTAGCAAAAGAAGGGTAAGCATTACAGGGAGATGCTAACAGTTCTTTAAACTTCAAGGTTGCATCAGCCTGTATATGATAAAGTCTTTCTAAAAAAGAGTCACATTTGTAGAGGTATTTTGCCTTTTTGATGTATTTTTCCTTAAAAAAAAAAAAAAAAAAAAGAGTGACTTGGGCCCCAGATTCCTTTAACACTTCAAATGTGTACTTCGCATATGTGAATTAGTCCAGTATAAAGAAAACAGAGAACTGTAAGGTACTTAAAACATAGAAGCACAAGTGTTACTAAGCCTGTGCTTAAGTGTTTATAGGATTTGGGACATCAAAGAAAACACCCCTACTGCTCTTCTCCTGTTTATAAAAATATAGCTGGTGAAGTTACTTGAACAAGCATCTGTCACTCATGGCTGAGCTCACTGAAGGAGAGCAGGAAAGAACATAACTGGAAAGCACGAGTCATCTATTTAAACTGAGTTTGCTGGTGTCCTGTAGCTCACATTCTGAGATTGTTCATGCTTGTTAAACAACTTGAAGCTGCTTGAAATAAATAGTAATGACTACTTTTACATCTGTATTCTATTTTTGAAAGTTGGTGAGTAACTTGAAAATTTCCATTTGTATGAGTAAACTTCGTAAAACGTAGTTGTATGTGGCAGGAAAACTGATTCGTTTTGACAACAGCTTTCCTGTATGTCCCTCTACTAAATTTTTATTCACTTCCTGAATTTCAATTAATGTTTATATAGTCTTTTAAAAATAGCTTTCAAAAACCAATTTCAAATGTCTTTGGATTAATATTAAGTTGGTAGCTAAGGGAAAATCACTTCGATTTGCAGATAGTAGTTTTTATTCATGGCTCTGGTAGAAAACCTTACTGTAAGTCTAGAAAATGAGGTGTTCTGTAGGACTGAAAGGTTACTTAGGGGGCTTTTATTACCTCAGTGGGACCCACTTAACTT